TTTCATAATTTTCTCATTTGAATTTTCTAATGAATCTTAATTACTGGATATGACCCTTGCATGTTCCATAACTATAAGATAGACATGGAAATTCCTGTATTTCTATGTTAAATATTTGAGCTTAACTTAAGAAAATATTATTAACTATCATGAATATGAACACAGTTAATTATTTATGATGTGGGTACAAATGAAAAGATTAAAAATTGACAAGGTATTCAATTTCACTGAAACAGGTGTTAAACACATAAAAGTATCATCAAATCCTTTGTCTTACTTTGCTTTCTTCCTACTTACTTTCTTTTTGTTTCCTTTCACAGTGTTTTTGATATGTCTTTTCTTCTGTCTCTCCTCACAGGAATGTCTTATTGTTTATCTGAGGCAATGGTATGGTGTAATATACATGCTAAAGAACAGCCACATTATAATATGATATTAACATGTCCTTTCCAGAAACTGTGGAAAGCTGATTTTATATTTTTTATGATTGATTTTTTATATTTTTTTAATATTTTATGCAGATAGTTTTGTTCCCTAAAATGGGAACAAAACCACCAGCATAAAATATTGAAGTTTCTTTCAGTTACTAGTTATCAGTTGTCATTTTAATTAAGTGATTTCCCAGAGAGGAGTCACTGTTATCTCCTATGCAACAGAGAGTTTGGTCAGATAGAAAAAGATCAAAGGAGAAGGGAAACTGTTGAGATGTACATTGCCTTGGATGAAATGAAAGCTTAGAGATTTGATGTGACGTCAATAACTGGAATGAATATATTAGATTCTAAAAAGCATTTCAAAACTTCTTTAAATCCATGATCAAAGATAGAAAGAAATTTGAAAACTTTTCCCTTTCTCCAAGGAGAATAAATATGGCATGGTTGTTAGAAACAATGACTGGCAAGTTTTCCTTGTTTAAAGGTCAAGTTGCCAATTCCTTATCCAGATCAGTCTTTTTAAGAGGACCTACTTCCATTAAATATACCCAAGTTAAGTGATGTGCAAAAACTAGCAAAGAACTTAAAATTAAGATAGTTATTAACAATTTGTATGTAATTGAATACAAGAGAGAAGGTGACAAACTTTGGAGATGAACAGTTAATTTTATTCTTTATAAAATTGTAATGAAGTATTCTAGTCTTTGCAATTCTGCGACATGTATGATAAGATTCATATTCCATTTATTGAGTTTTATGCAACAGACACTTGATTTTGTTCTTTCTGATGTTCAATAAAAGTTCATTTTTTTTTTTCATTCTATACAGTTTCCTCATTTTTTTTCTATCCTCAATAAATCCTTTAATCATAAAAAGGGCATGTCTTAATATTTAAACCAAATGCATTCTTTGACAAAAAATAGATAGATTGGCAGTTAGGTCTCATCATTTTACTGTTGAAATTTCTAAGTGGAATTGTAAGTTTCTCCTCTCAAATGGCATTTTTAACATTTTTTCAAGCAAATCATTAATTCTGCTACCATAAATGTTTTTGAATATTTTGCCCTAGTTTATTTTGACTAATGTCCTAATCTTATTTGTATGAGTCACTCTACCCCAAACAGTATTTTTCAAATACCCATCCAATTCAATAAGCTTTTATGAAGTGAACACTTTATTCAGTCAATAGGAGATTGTCCTCATTTTACTGTTTATGCTAGGGGAGATAACACAGTCATTTTCATTTGTCTGCTGATTTTGCTTTCTTTACTTAACTAGAACATATGAATTCTTGCTAAATGCACTTAATCCACACTTTTATCCATTGTTTCACTTCTGCTCTTTCCAATGTTATGACTTCAAAAACCAGTACAAGGAAAAGATGAAGATATTAATACAAACAGACTAATGTATAATAATTTATCAGAAATTCATAGATTTGATACTGCTATTTAAATCCTCTGCATGCATAATTATAGATTGATGTTATTTAAGAGTTTTTCTTCTAAATCCTCAATGCTCTGAAAAATAATTTCTGTTGCAATTTAATATTATAGCTTAACAAGATCATTTTTGGTTTTGTCTTGAAAGATGAAAGGAAAGAACCAGAAATTGCTTGAAAGATTCCTGATTAATACTGAACCCACCATGAACCAAGTTCTAAACAAGATAACATTTTTCTCAAATTAGACTTAAATTAGAGACTCACTGAAGACTAACTGTTTAGATAATCCATGATGCTATGGTTAGAATTTATCATATATATCAGCATTTTCACTTGGCATAATCATTACACACAGCAAATCTGAGAAAACAAGAAACAATAGTCATCATTGTATTTTGTTACCAGCTGCATTTAAACCTGGTATATAAACAAAGTTTTGGTTTCTCCATCAATCTACTGCTTAACATTAGTCATTTTCACAATCTAAATATTTCTGGCAACAAATTATGGGTGAAACATTACAATTTTTTTAACCAAAAGTTTAAGTATTGACACTGAGACTGCACATTGTGCATTAAAATCCAGAAAAATGATTTTTATTTTTCTGGCATTCATTCAGATATTATTGACAGAATAGGATCATATGATGATTTACCTTAGTTTATGAAAATATATATATATATATATATATATATATATATATATATATTATTTATATGACACTCATTACACACTGTTATTGAAATTAGTAAATAATAGAAACTACATCTAATAAAAGTTTGAGCAATGTTTACTTCAATCTTTTTTTTTTAAGAAAAACAAAAAAAAAAAATCTTTATAAAAAAATCATTTAAATTGTATACAAACAAAAGCCAGTATCACAAATATTTAAATTTTCCATTTAAATCATGATTTTAAACAGTCATTTAAGCATGGAATTTATTCCAATATTTCACCAAAATTTGCTTTAATTGTAAGAATAAATACAATGGCTCTCTTGCTTTACTGTTTATATCTCCTTGTTTCAGCCATGTTATTTTGAGATGATTATCAAATATGTCTGAATCAATAAAAATGTTAGTTTCTGTTAGTGATTTTGCTTGATGTCTGGTGTTGTTATTTCAATTCCTATGTTGGAGTATTTTACTCTTAAATTGGTTTGTTAGTTCGCAATTTCTGGGAAACAGAACATGCTATAAAAGATTAATTATTTTAAATTTCAAGAAAATTGGCATTCCAAATTTTTTAAAAGTGCACTTACTAAAACATATTCATTAAAAATAACTAAAAACAGGTTATATCAGTCCAATCAAGATATGATGATTCCATTGAACTGTAATGAGATGATGTCATTTAATGTCTAAAGGATTCACATTTTCTGTTAAAATTGTCTTAAGATTTATATTTGAAATGTCATATTTCTGAATATAGTAATAAATAAAACTAAATGTTTTCTTATCTTGTACCTACTTTACAGAGATTACATCCATTCATCAGAGGAGTTGATTGTAAAATTAGGATTTTAAAATCAACACTGCCAATGAGTGGATGTAATCTTCATCAAATTCTGACCAGGGACAAGATATATGAACATTTAATTCTATATATTATTATTAATACTCTATCTCTTTGATACTGGCATTATAATTAAAATGACTGATTGTTTTAAAAAATACACCTTCCAGAAATATCCTGATTGACATTTTTTTCTTTTGTAAAACACAATTTTGTTGTTTTTATTTCCAAATATATAAAAGTTTTGTGATTATGAAGTTCATGCTTAAACACTCTGGGTGTGGGTTTTGTTGGGTTGGGTATGAAAATAACAGAAGTAATGTTTAAATGCTACCTGACTGCAAATATTTGTTCATGACTTCAATGTCTGTTTTTTCTTAAGTAATTCTTTGAATAACACTACTTACTGGCAATTTTCTTTTATTTTAAATCAAAATATTCCTATATTGCCCATCTTTTGCATCTTCCTGTACAGCAAGTATTCATTTATAATTATATATTTGTACTATACAGAAGAGTACATCTCCATTAAACAATACTTAACAACCATTATGACCGAGATGAGTTTGATACTCACTGAGTATGCTAGTGTTGTATTAATCTTAGTAAATATCATTATTGAGCATCTGTCGTAATGCAATGGTTAACAAGCTTTGCTTGCAAACCAATTAATCAGTGTAGATGAGTGTTTCATCATTTTGGCCTTGTGTCAGTCTAAGCTAAACCTTGTAAATAATTGCTATACACAATAGAGGCTTAATAAAATCCATTGTGCTTAAAGCAAAAATTTCACAGTTCTGTTATCAGCATACCAAGCACCACGAATTTCTTTAAAATTCTATAGCCATGTTAGATTCTGAAACAAATTTTCCTCTTTTGTGTTTTTTGGAATATGTAGGTGGATATTTTTTAGTTTTCCAACTTCTGTGTATCTCTGTTGGAAGTGAATATCAAATAACATGGATGCCAGGAAATTTTGATCAGATATGTTCTCTTGCATCTTGTTATTAGTCCATCTACAGTTTTTAAAATATTAACTGGTTTTTCTTAAAAACGCCTTTTTATTTGAATATCATTTCGTTCAAAATATTTTCTTCATTATGTCTTTGAAGATATTTATTAAACAATTATAAAACTCAAATTTACAATCCAAAAAACAAAAAAAATCAAGTCTTTCTTGTGATAAGGAAAATGTCACCAACTCAATGTGACAACTTTCAGCAGGTCATCTTATATATGTTTATACTGTTTTTAAACATGATTGAAATATCTACTAAATATTTGCATAAGTTTTTCAGTTATTTTTGGCTGCATATTCATTTGTATGGAAAATATAGGCTTTTTTTTTTCTTTCTAAAATTGACCTTTTCATAAAATAGTAGCATCTGAACACTGACTTCCAGTATTAGAGGTTTTGGAAGGATATAAATATGTCTTATGTTAGGTAGGATTTTTTTTCTTTTTTTCTCTTTTTTTTTTATTATAACTAACCTTAGTCTTTTCTCAAATTGGGCCTGGTGACCCTCGAGGTCAAGACCTGTATAATCAGCAATATAAGTGCTCTTCTTAAGTCGTGGTTGAATTTTGCCTTGGAAATCATCAAATACATCTTTATAAGTCTCATCCGAGCTATGACTTGAAAGTAACCGACGTCTCCTATGACGATGATGACGGCCACTGTGAGGTATGCCAGGATGACCATGGGGTATGATATTGCCTTGGATTGGGTCATGTGGATCAATATCAGGGGAGATAGGATGACCACCATAAATGGTGTCAGCATGGTGGACACTTTGATGACTGGCATGGGACTGCCTGTCCAAAGAGAGCTTGCTAAAAAAAACAAAAAACAAAAAACAAATAGAGAAAACATACATAATTTTACTTATGTTAGTGGGTTATCTTATGCAAAAGATTGTTCACTTTACACAGTTCTTCTAAATTAAAAAAAGTAAAGCTCAAGACATTTTGATTGGTTATCTTGGATCTTTTAAATTACTAAACAATGAAAAAAATTCTGCTTTCATGTAAATTACTTGAATTCAAATAATTTAAGACTATAACTTAAAACTATAATCAGTTTGTAAAAACAAAAACAGAAACCCTGGATATTTAGACTAGAAAGGTAGTAAGTATGATTGTATATTTATGCACTGTCTAACCATATACATCTCTGTCTAAACTGTTTAAGGCATTGTCTGTAAAATTGTACCTGGACCAGTGCCTGATTAGGTTTTAAATGCTGTTTCTTGGATGATCTTTGTAGCCAGATGCAGAAAAAAAGGGGTTAATTGATTAATTTATTCATTTTCTATGGCTTATCAACACTTTACAGGATATTTAAAGCCAGAAATTATTTTTAGATATAATTTTTTCTTGGAGGTAATAATGGTTTAGTGATACAAATCTTACTAATTAACCCATAGCTGGAGGAAGAAGCAGATTCATACTTTTCCCAAGAGTATGTTATACTATTTAATCTAGACCTCTTTCTGATTACACCAAACATGTTGGCCGGACAAAGTAAAATGCAAAATAATAAAGTTATCTTCTGTACAGGATCTCTGAGCATCACATCCAGTCCACAAAACAAATCCCCACAAAAATCGAAAATACAATAGCCAATCATGAACATGATCACAAAAAAAGGATGTTTTTGGAGCCTGCACCTGTTAAGCCAAAGATATAAAAATGGCACTCCTTGCTGATGTGTTTGGTTTCAACACTTCAGCCTTGTCACATAACTGCCAGACCATCAAGCATCTCACTAGTGTGGATTTCAACCCTGAAAAAAGTGTATATCAAACCCTGTCAATGACACTACACTTGGCTTCACTAATCTGCTCCAGACCTCTCTCCTCACACCAATCGTGACTTTGGCCAACCAACCCAAGAAATTGGCCAACTCCTTGCCTTACCGACAAAACCCTTACATTTAATTGCTTTCCTTAGCAACACCAACTAAGGAACCACACATGAACAATTTTTGCCACTTTTCATATAACTATGTATATATTCTGAATTTTGATCAATACATGTTGTTAAAATTTTAATAAGTAAATATAATGAACCCAATAGGAATTGAAACTTGGCTCTCTGATTAACAATTCCAAGCTATTATCTATAATATCACAGACACATACAAGCATACAGCATCTGGTATTCCCAAGTGGTCATCCATTTAGATACTAACCAGGATCAATATTGCTTAACTTTTGGGATTGCATGGGAACTGGTTTCAACATGATGTGGCCACAAGCCAGAAAAAAGGGGGAGTGATAAAAAAAGTGACATTGTTGCCAAAAAGACATAGATAGCAAAATGCAGTTGAAAGAAACATTTTGCTTTAGTCATGGGCTTTCAGAAACAGGGAATGTGAAGACTGTCAATGTTTTGTTGCTTGAATTATTTGTAATGTCAAATTTATGTTCTAAAATCTGATTGTAGTTGTCATCTCTAATTAACCATTCTTTGCATCTCCAGTTAATTATTGTTGGATTACAACCCAATGACAATAATCAGTCTGCACAATATTTGAAAGGCTCTTTCTCTTTGATTTTTGGAGCAGCAACACACATTTCCTTTCACTCCAAGACACAAGGCATGTAACTACTTTTGAGAGACTGATAGAAGATTATATTTAACTGTTCATAACTACAACTTGTAACATGTCTTGTTAATACATATATTAATTGTGGTTTGTTTTAATTGCAGGACTATTGTCTTTTTGTTTATCCATACTTTCAAGAGTCTACCAAATATTGTTTATGGAACAAATATAACAAGAGGCATAAAATGATAATACTGCACATTCCTTCAACACTATTCTGTGCAGATTATGGCCTTTTGTGGAGTTAGGAATCAAAATTTCTAACATTTGTAAATTTTTCAAGGAAGCTTATTAAGATGTATCCATTTTTGTTTACTTGTTTTTATATAGTTGCTGGTTGGAAGCCATGTCAGAGTGATATGCATAACAGGATATGTATTGTAACAGCTATGATGTTGGCTGCCATTATCTTGCAAGCTCCTTATTGTATAAACCAGTCTTGAAATTCAAGAAGAAAACTGCATACCATATTATAAACACAAATCGTGGTACAAAAATAAGACTTCATGTAATTATCATTCTTACAGTTATTTAAATCAACAGCCCTGCCATAAAAACAACAGGAAGTTTATATGTTGTGCTGGAACAAGACATGAAAATTTGATTGGCTAATGCTCCTCCAATAAAATCAAAGGATGTAATAATGGACTTGCATTTATTACGGGACTGATCCTACATTATTATAATAATACGTTCAAATCTGTCTAAACATAATGACAGTTATATCAGAAAGAAACAGGAATCTGACACAGAAATTAAATTAAAAGCAACAAATATGAGATTTATTGGACATGAATGAAGCAATTAAAATGCTTGAATAAATTAAACTATTCCACACTTTTAGATACCTGCATTTTTTACTCATGAATATCCACTTTATGTTGAAAATTTATTTAAATTTAATATAAAATCAGAACTGTAAGTAAATTTTACAGTAAATCCCAGGTGTCACTTGAGGTAGTGGGCTATGTTAAAGGATAGTTTATATGAATAAAAAGGGATGATAATGGTTAACATTAGACTTGGACAGGTTAAGATTGTAGTTGTTGGAGAAACATCCTTTTAGGAGTGTGTTCTCCAGGACAGTGGTTCACAGGAAGAAGCTGTTTGAGTGGAACTTATTTCTCACCAGTGGAATATGGAGGAAATGTGGGTAGTTTACTATTATGTAAGTGGCATCATAGGTCCTAGCTATAAAGGTTAGACTGGGTGAAACCAAGAAATGTAGTTCATCAGAGCACTTTCTATGGAAAGTAGCGATAGAGCAGTAAGAGATTCACCACATTCCACCTTTGCGAGAGAGGTTGGAAGGTGGAAAATAATTCTTCTCCAACAAAGACTTGGAGATGCTTTTGAACTCTACCAAGACTGGAAAATGAGAACCAAGCAACTCCCACCCAAATATACCAATGGTACTACATTTTCCACATGATCTGGCTCTTATCAAATATAATCTTTTAGAAAAATATTATTTTACTAATAATTCAAACATATTGTGTATCTACTTAAGTTATACAAATCCTCTTTATTGCTTATGTATGTAATACGATTTATAATGAACAAATTCTACCTAAGTAACCATATAACCATAGTATAGAACTAGAAAAGTTACCAATGTATATTTGATTATGGTGGTAAATACAATAATTTTTATTGTCATATGAAATTATTTTAACCTGCGGAAGTAATTAGCATAAAACTGTTGTAAATGGAATAAACAAGTATTCTTCAAAAATAATTAAATTTCATTAAAAAAAACAAAAAAAAAACATCTGCATCTAAGAATTTAAGAGTGAAGAAATTAATATATAATGGTTGGGATAAATAGATAATTGCAGAACAAATAAGTTGTAATACAAATGAGGTTTATAAAAAAATATCACTATTGTGCTGCTGTCTTATTGAAAAATTATTCATATCATACAAATATAAATTTCAGAAAAATCCCATAGATTTGATTGATCAGAAAATTACCATTTTCCTTTTAGAAGCTTTCTCTTTGACATACCTCATTTGAATATAATGATGTCCTAATTTTACTGTAGGAAATTTTCATATTGATTTTTAATATAATGAGTATATTGTTAAAATTAATGAACCACAATGTATGTGGGTTTTGAATTAGAAATGAAAACAAAAAAAAAAAATAGAAAATAAGGAAATTAACAAATTTTACAAGAGAAATAAAGGAAAATATATTCGTTTTTAGTCATTTCACTTCAATCAAAGTAATAAAGCCAAAAAACACAAGGGGTTACTGAGTGTGAGAGAATACAAAAAAATATTATTAAGGAGAGAAAACAATAAAAAGCAAAGAAAAATGGAAGATAATGATTGATATTGCATATAAACTTTTGAAGATCAAATTTAACTGGGAAGTAAGAAGTCAGGGGAGAGTTCCACAAGTGGGAAGTGTGAGAGAAGAAACTGTTAGCATAGAACTTCCTGTCATTTTAACTGTAAAATGATGAAACCTTACCACTAACCTAATACTGCATTTAAATTCAGAAAGTCTAAGTATCATAGAGGAAAAATTATCAAAACAACTACCATAAAAATATTTATAAAAAATGTACAGAGAAGCTACATTATAGTGGTGGGAAAGTGACTGAAGCTGAGATGCCAGGTCAGAACCATTGACATTGCAGATTCTTCTTTGGATTTTATCAAGGATCTTTAATGTATAGCAGAAGCACCAGGCCAGATGTGGCAGCAAAATTCTATGCAAAGATGAATGGTAGAATGTTTAAGAAAATTGTCTAGTGCAATATAATATACCAACTTTCCTAGCAATTAACTCAATATGATTTTTCAGCAGAAAACACTAGCCTGAGAAGGTATGAGTCACTTTTCTGGAGGTTAGCATTAGTCATGCTGATAGAAGGCAAAAAGGGTTTTCTCAGATAGATCAGTTTCATTTTGGAGGCATTGAAATTAACAAGCTATTCCTTGCTACCAGAAGGTTGTTGATGAAAATTAGGAACAATGTGGATCCAACAATAGAGATCTGGAAGATACCTGTATTAATGTTAAAAGATCTAGAAGAGCGGCCCATTCAAGACAACATTCATTTCATGATTTGATGCAAAAAGATTGAATCAGTTTTAAAATTTGCCCAAACATACCATGACCTTTCAACTTGCAAAGAAGACCAATATGCCAAGTTCCATTTCATTCTCAAGCGAATTTTGGAGTAACTTTTAAAATTACTGGGTTTTAAAGACACAGCTAAAATCATAATTCATGTTTCCAAGGTTACAGATGAATTCATCTGTAAATTCGCTCGAGGATGAAATGGAACTAATGTCTAATTTAATTACAAAATTAAATTCGGGGCATTTAGCTTCCACTTTTGAAACATGGTTAGAACTGTGTAGCGAAAAAAAAACATATTTTAAATCAATTAATTTATAATATTAATGCTCTGTAAATTTACATTGAGCACTATTTTGTAAAAATAAAAATATCTATAAGAACACTGGATTATATATCTTACTGTTCTTTCTTTTTATATATATATATACTTTTTTTATTGTAATCATTTCACCTCAAGCAAAGCAATGAAAGTCACTAGGATGCAAAGGATTACTGAGAGTGAAAGAGTGAATAAGGGAACAGGATTAAAGGAGACGGATGATGACAATGATTAAAGTTGCATTTAAATTTTTAAAGATCATAGTTGGCAGGAAAGCAGTAAGCCAGAACAGTGATACACAAGTGAGAAGTGTGGGAGAAGAAACTATTAATGTAAAAACTTAGAGTTAAAAGTAAAAGTGTTGTATCCTTAAGAGGTCACAAACAGACAAAGATGATACTTGAGTAAAGCAACAGCAACACATGCATAGATGAAAGAAGAGAGGTTTATTGTAGAAGAGAATATACTACTGAAAGACAGGGAATTGGGTGGCAGGCTAGTAATTCCCAAAGCAAGCCCCCAGGTATATCCTGTGCTCACTATATATAGCTACTGATATAGTCGATAGGAAGTGTGGGACATTCCATTAAAATAAAAAGTTTCAATAGTAAAATTATGTGACCTAGCTGCCAATATAGTACTGCACTCCATTTGAAAATCATTAAATACTGTATTAGTGCATACAAAATATGTAGCTAGTTTCACTGATAAAGTGCAATATCATATATATATATATATATATATATATATATATGTATGTAAAATATAATATAGTCAACAGTGAGTGCTGATATTAAAAACACAAAGCTCAATATAAATGAATAGAGCTAACATATATATTGAAAAATATCCTTATTCCTTACTGCATGATGCTACTGAAAGTTTCATGTAAAGTTGATGTAAAAGTCTCTAGCACTATCTTTTGTTCAATGCTTAGGAAATCTTAAAAGTATCTTTGAAGCTTTCTCAAATTTCTCTTGCTTATAGTTATTCAACTATGCTTAATTACAATCCTCCATAAAAAAAAAAAAAAAAAAAATCAGAAGCTATGAAAATTGTGTTTCTGATGAACTTAGAGAAATAAATATTGATTAGCTTTTAAACACTTGGTACACTCTTCTTACTTGACAGAGAAAAATTCCATTTTTGAATTGATTTTTGTCAAGGTAAACTGAATTTACTACAAGAATCCAAAATGGAAAAAATCATGGTTACATCTAAAATAGTCTTTGA